TTTGTTGAAGTTGTTCGCGGGTTTAGGAATATCTGCGGTAAAAATGGAGAAAAGTAGTGGTGAAAGGACCGCGCCTTGCGGTACTCCTGCTTCTAGCTCCCTCTCTGCAGAGATTTCGTTGCCAACTTTACATTGGCATCGCCTTCCCCGCAGAAAGGAGGCTATTAGCTTTACCATAGATATCGGGTACCCGTAGTCTGTCATTTTGGTCAGTAGTCCGTCGTGCCAGACCCTGTCGAATGCTTTCGAAACGTCAAGGAAGATTGCTCCAGTATAATGTCCTTTTCCGAGATTGAATCCTGTAATCGCGTAATCTACTATTCTGAGAACTTGGAGTTCTGTGCAATGGTTTCTCCTGAAACCGAATTGTTCGTTTGGGATCACGTTTAATACAAATATCAATTCGTCTTTACCCTGTTCTGCTGTTTACCATTTGGCTATCTGAGTCTCCCCATAAATCACAAAAACCTGAACTTCGAAGTAAACACTCGAAACACTCGTAAAGTCTACCGCTACCGCAATTGGTCAAAAAGTTCATTTCACGAATCCCATTATAGGCGATATTTTCTATATAATACAAAATATCTTCTCTACCCTTGAAAGTCTCTACTTACGTGGAATTCGCCGCTTCAAAAAAAGTCCCTATACCTATCGTCGACCGAAATGCGGCTTTTCGGCGGTTCGCCCTTCTGCCGACAAACGTTTTACCTCGCACCTATGACATCATCTGATGTTTTTATTTATCATTTCAGAGAGGAGGATTCACGGACATCGTGCTATACTTCCTTACTGGAATGCTAAAATTATCTCATAATTCCCATTCGATAATATAAAATAATGTATGGATATTGTGGACAGTATAAAAGTTCCCAAGGAATAGGATGAAGAAACAGAAATGATGAAAAATGAAATAGATAGCTGACGTACAAACGTAAATGTGTCCTACTTTTTGAATCACACTGGTAAAATCTCAAAAACGCAAAATAATCCTGTATTCCAATATTGAAACACAGTTTTCAGCATTCTCCGGTGAGGACGCTAGGAATCGGTGTCGAAATGTTGGAAAACATGGGATCGCGCGCCCCCACTTTTCCCCCTCTAAACATTTTTTTTAATGAAACAAAAAATACTGGGCTTTCCACAAAGGATGAACGGATGTTTCTCTGGAAGCGGATTTTGAGTTTTTGTCTTAGTTTTTTCGAAAAAAAATTCTGAATATACTCGAAAAATGCAATGTTCATGATTTTTTTGCAGAACATCGGTGAATTTTTTCAAAATTCTACTCCCAGAGAAACCTAGATATTTCAATTCTCTATCTCACCATATTTTTCGTTTTCCGAAAAAATCAATATTGAACAATGAAAAGTGGGGGCGGAGAAATCCTGTTTTCATTGCACTGATGCATGGTGTATCCTCCTCTTAACATAATTATGTTGTGTCAAAAAGATTCATGAAAGCCTTCCACATGAAACATAGGAGAGGATACGGCATTATCCTCATGAACGAGCTACTTTAATACAGTAGTGCAGATTGAATAATAATGAAAAACTAGCTCAGGAGGATATAATCAGAAGTTTCGATACCATCTTTATTATAGGTGTCCGCAATCATAAATTTTCCTCATATTTTTTAATAAATTCTAAATCAGTTCATGGAACTGGACAAGGAGATTGGCAACTTCAATCATTTGACACTGATTTTTCCTGATAGCATAATGCAATTGTATGCAAGTTATTCCACTATGGATTTTACTCACTCGGAATTGTAGGTTTGGGTCGGGATGTGCTCTTCGTTCCAGGTTTAGTCGGAGGTCTCAGGGTAGGTTTTGCTGATGGTCTCGAAGTGACAGCTGGAGGACTTGTGGTCACTTCATCTTGCATCGGCTTTCCAGTAACTGGCGCTGAAGATGAAGAAGAAACCATTGTTGTAGTCATAGGACTCTTCGTACTGGAACCTTCGAATGTATTTCCATCTACTACTTGGAAAGTCTGTAGTTTCTGTGACAGTGTAGAACTTTCTGGTGATTTTGTTGTCAGTGAAGGAGAAGAGCTCGTCGTTAATTTCTTCGTAGTTGTTTGAGGTTTGACAGTAGTTATTCTTTGGCCAAATGCAGCTGAAGTTAATGTGGAAGGCGGTTTCCCAGTACTTGTTGATCTCGTAGTTGCCACTGTAGTAGTAACAGCATTTTCAACTGTAGTTGATGATACCAGAGAAAATGACTCATTCTTCACCGGCGAAGAAGTACTTGTGGTTCTGTGAGTTGTGTTCGGTATCCTCATAGGAGGTTCCCTGTGAGGAATAATATCTGTGTCTATCGAATTATCGTATATTTCGTGTACCGGTTCTATGTGACAACAAGATCCAAAGTAGAACCTATCTATACAAGTACCCAGATGAGTACCATTGGCTTTCAAACAGTCGATTGCAAACATACATACACCGTTCTGGTTCATGTTCCTTCTGGATATACAGGGCAAGTTTCGGATATTCCTACCAGTTGTGACACCTGAAACAAAAACGGTACGGTATTAACTGGTTCAACAAACGATGATTTCATGTATTAGGCATAAACAAAAAGTTGAGAATTATTATATTCGAGTCGATATATATATAATATAATAAAATATATGAGTATAACCTATTATACAATGACTGTAATGAATGAACAATTATCATGAGTGTCATATTGTCATAATCAGATTGATAACCACTGTTTTGTTGGCCAAATGTATATCCAGCATCATACAGTGTCTTTCAAAAGTATCGGAACGGTCTCATATTTCAGGAACGGCTGGAGAAAAATTCACGAAATTTTCTACAGGGTGATTATTGATGATGCCCGATTCAATGGTGGCATCGGCAATGTTGCCAAGTTTACAGTTTTTCAGATATTAGGAGTAACTTTATTTTTTCAAATGGAATACCCCATTTATTTTTATTGCAAATAATTAAGCGCCTCCTAATTACTTGGGTCCCTGAATATCAGATTCGTGATTAACGTGATTTTCGAAATATGACAACATAGCATTTTCGTTAAAAAGTTCTGGAACGGTCCCATATTTCAAGAACGGCTCAGAGAAAATTTATGAAAACTTCGACAGGATGGTTGTTGATGATGCCCGATTCAATGGTGATATCGGCAATGCTGCCAAATCAACAGTTTTTCAGATATTCAGGGTAACTCAATTTTTTCAAATGGAATACCCTATTTGTTTTCATTGCGATACATTCAGCGACGCCTCATTACTTATGTCTCCAAATATCAGATTTTCAATTGAAGTGGTTTTCGAAATATGACAACATGGCATTTTCGTTCAAAAGTCTGGGAACCTTCTAATATTTTCAATACGGTTCAAGGAAAACTCTGATGATGCCCGATTCAATGGTGATATCGGCAATGTTGCCCAATCAACAGTTTTTCAGATATTGAAGGTAACTCAATTTTATATAACATTTCATGATATTTTCTCGAGCCCTTATGAAAATATTGGACCGTTTGCAGACATTTCAACGGAGCATGTTCTCATATTTAAAAAACACACTCATTTAAAATGTGATATTTGAAGACATAAGTAATGAGGCGTCGCTGAATGTATTGCAATGAAAACAAATAGGGTATTCCATTTGAAAAAATTGAGTTACCCTAAATATCTAAAAAACTGTTGATTTGGCAACATTGCCGATATCACCATTGAATCGGGCATCATCAAACCATCCTGTCGAAGTTTTCATAAATTTTCTCTGAGCCGTTTCTGAAATATGGGACCGTTCCAGAACTTTTTAACGAAAATGCTATGTTGTCATATTTCGAAAATCACGAATCTGATATTCAGGGACTCAAGTAATTAGGAGGCGCTTAATTAATTGCAATTAAAATAAATGGGGTATTCCATTTGAAAAAATAAAGTTACTCCTAATATCTGAAAAACTGTAAACTTGGCAACATTGCCGATGCCACCATCGAATCGGACATCATCAATAATCACTCTGTAGAAAATTTCGTGAATTTCTCTCAAGCCGTTCCTGAAATATGAGACCGTTCCGATACTTTTGAAAGACACTGTAGAATGAATATGCGAACGATATTTTGGATCATGTTTCCTGATTCATGTCTGTATACTGATATCTCGCAATAATCAGAACTTTACCATCATTCCAACCAGTGAAAGAAGCATTCTCATGGTTTCAATGATACTGTCCAGTTAGCCTCTAGCAAGAAACTATCAGAAGAAGACAATCACAGGATCATAATCACAGGAAAATATATATTTACGTAACTCTGTGTTTTGCGGGATCTCGATTTTTAGTTATGATCAAAATTTTCACTAGTTTCAACGAAACATTCTTCCTGAACAGCAATAATAACCAGTTATACATGAGGTTCACCAATTATGTATAATGCTCAGTAGACGAGTTGAAGAAAAATATTCGTTCGTTTGATAGTGATGTAATTACCTAGTGAGAAATGTCGTATTCGAGTTCAAATTTCTCAAGTGATATCAAAAAAGCAGCACAAAATGCGATATTATCTTCGTCCATTCATATTCTTATCTCGTAACTAGTATTAGAATGAACTTTAGAAAAGATTCGTCATATTGAAAAAGCTCTCCTCACAACTTTTAGAGCATGATCTCTTCCAGATTCTGAATCGAATGAACAGAAAAACAAAAAATATTGAATGAATTTACTGAAATATTGGTAATTTGAGGGAATGGATAAAATGTTTCATAAAATGGGAATCAATAAATATTGAATTTTTAACAAACCGTCTGACCAGTGTTTGAGTAATCGAAAATATGTTATCGTTCTTATTATTTTTATTGTAATGATAATTGTGAATCACTTATTGGGGAATTGATGAGAATAAGTATGCCAATTTATTCCTCCGAAATTACCTATTGTTTTCACAATTGAAAATTTTTATATCGATATCTCAATGAAATGGAATATTTCAATTATGATATGAAACGAAACTATAAAAACACAGTCATACACATTTTAGTATCATAATATCCTTCACAATGAATAACATACAAATAATGAAGACTTTATTTTTTTGTTGTACTGTAACAATAATAGTTATTGGTGTGGTGAGTATTCCTTTTGCATCCCATAATTGAATACCTGAAAATACCAGAAACACAGTTCTTCTCATTCTGTTGGGATAGTACTAGTTGTCTTCACGAATATAATAATATATCCTAGAGCATTTATTCTATACGTAATAGTAGAAGTAGTAATATTTTATTGAAGTTTATCCTACTACAATGCTTTCTGCTTTTTGAGGAAAATTCGTTCAACACAAAGCAAATAGGCTGATATATCGCATAAGAATTTTCTGTCCATACTCAAATTTCATACCATTGGCTGGATGCTGGATGAGTACTCATATCATATCGCAACAAAAATGAAACTCAGGGATATACACATTACTTCAAAGGGGCCAAGTCCACTGCGAACATAGTTTCATCTAGTTTATATTGTGTTGAAATTGCTTTTTGATTCAACATTCTAATATTGTTCAATTCAATGTTTTAGCTATCTGAAAATGAAGAGTCGATCGAAGCAAAGTACCACAAGGCTCGTGCAGAATGTCAGGCAGACCCAGAAACTGGTGTGACGAATGAAACCTTATTGCGATCATTCAAAAGTCAAGAGATCTCTCCTGCAGTTGGTAATCACTCTCTTTGTATTTACAAAAAACTCGATGCTGTAAATGAAAAGGGAGTTGTAAACAAAAGCGTTGTGGAAGAAATGCTCCAAGCTATCGTGGAAGACAAAAACAAACTCGATGAAGCTGTCAATGAATGTGAAGAGAGAAGCAAAGGAACTCCTCTAGAAGTTGCTATCGAGTTATCGAAATGCATGTGGGATACATGGAAGAAGTACTCTGAGTCTGATGAAGAATAAGAATCATGAAGAGTATCATAGTCTTGTTTGAAATATTGCATTAAATAATCATGATATTATCAAGCAGTTTTCAGTTTCAATTATCGCAGAGGTGATCAGAACTTAGGAGAATGAATTGTTTGCAATATGATGTCCCTCTATTCAAGATGGTTTTTTGTATCTCTTAGAGCGCACGGAAGGAAATTCCTATATTATGCGTGAAACATCGTGCGTACCTAGGAAGGATAGGGAGAGGAGGTTGGCTTCCTTCTTGAACTTTTGAAGGTTATAAGTTCTTGAGAATACTTCCATCGGCAAAGAAGCTCCGAAGCTTCGCCGTTCTCCAGACGAACGAGTTATGGTAGAAAGCTATTCGACATATTCCAATATTGACGACAAAAAGATGTTCTGACTGGTCCTGTCGAGTTCGTCAACTGGTTTTGCATGTGATGGTGATGATTATAGCAGAGATTTCCGAGGAATATTTGCCGTAGTAGTGTCTATAGAAAAGTGGAACGTCACCGACTTTTCTACGGTGAGTGTAGAGTTAGTGAGTGTGGTATCATTCACCAGTCGAATGGCTTTTCTCTTGATGTATTCTAAGAGCATTGGTGTATGTTTGGGTGCTGAACCTCATACATGAGAACAGTATTCTGAGAATGCCTGTATCTATGATTTGTAGATCATGAGGAGCTGTCGAGGTGTGGAGATGATTTCCGCACGAAACAAGAATCCGAGTTTTTGTGAAGTAGCTTCTGCGATGGATCGGACCTGATTTTTTCACGAGATACTATTGCTGATGGTGAAACCGATCATAGATATAGTGGTCTTGGTGGAAATGGTTGAGACATCATTCAATCAGGCCTATTGCGTTCCGAATTTCTAGACAAAATACAGGCTTGAGTTTTGGAGCCGTTGAATTCATCTAGTTTGTTGGTTCTTCAGACTCAAATTCCCGCAAGGTCTTCATTGGCAGCGTTGGCCTGCGTTCGTCGTGGATTCTAAGTTTCCTAGGAGGAACTGGGAATTTCAGGAGGAAACGCAGAATGGAGGGTACTATCGTCGGCAAAGCTAGGGCAAAATGTTGCTCTCAATAGATTGTTGTTATAAAGTAGGAACAATGTTGGTGTCAGAATTGATCCTTGTGAAACGCCGAAATTGATGGCAATGATATCAGACGATACTCCGTTCACCACCACAAGGATAAATCTGCCTGGAAGTAAACTTGATGAAATATGACTTAGCTGAGGTGGTGAGGAATGCTTTCCATATATCTAACGCCACAGCTAGAGATTCCTCATGTTCTTCTGATGGAGCTCACCATATATGGGTGACGTAGGCAGGTAAATCTCCAGTTGTTTTCCGGTGGCGAAAGCCATATTGTGTTATCATCAGTGTTTCCTGAGCATTCTAGATGATTTCATGAGCCCAATGTTAATGACTTTCTCCATCACTTTGGAGATAACTGATAACAGGGCAATTGGCCTAAGGTGTTTGGGCAGGTTTCTGTTTCTTCCTTAAGGGATTGATTGGACTCAAGTTATTGTTCAACAAGATGGAAAATTACCAGACGTATAGGATATGGTAAATACCTTGCAAAGATTCGTTGTCTATGCTGGTGCATACTTGTTTCAGACCGGGCAGAATGAGTCAGGTTAAATGTTGGCAGCACTCTTTCTTGGAAATCCAAGGTATAGTTTGATGTAGTGTATCTACTACTCATACAGGAATATATTATATCAATATGAAATTTCGACCAGTCTCGATAACTCACTTCGGTATTTTTTGTTCATCTGAGATTGAAATAATGCATTGAGAAAAAATCGGATAAAGGGGATGAGAATTGAATAATCTTCATAGAAAGAGATTATTGGATATTGTAATGACCACTCAAGAACAGTATCTAGATAATTTGATACAGCATGCATGACATAAAGGCTTCACCATGAACGAATTACGGCCATTTATCAGTGTATGTTACTATAATTGAAGAGTACATTTGCTGTTATTCTCCAGAACCCATAACAGGAATGAAACCTTCCTAATGAAATAATTATTAAATCTAGTTATTTTGAGTTGATAATCGAATAATTGTTCTCCAAATAATTGTCCAATATAGAGAAAAAATATTTGACACATTCAATTCTGGAAGCTCTCAGTGGAGATTCCATCGATATAAAACATTTTAGGGAACGGAGTATCAAGAAAATAGTACATTGAAAATACACTTTTCTTCACATATTCCAACGGTATTGAAAGTTTTTGATTTCCACATGATGAACTCTCCACTCCATTTGAATTTCGAAAAATAAATGTGCCAAATGGAATTTTTCTATTCTGCAAAAAAATTATTCGGCGAAAAATCATTCGATTATCAACTTGAAATATCTGAAGTTATTATTCATTACTATACAAAGATTTTATGCTAGGATGATGCTTCATTTTTATTAGTTTCATGAAATTATCGGATCATCAATCTGACCTTCATACTTAACGTGTTGATAACGATGAATTCCTGCAACCAGAATATGAATGCTGTCATGAGGTCGGAGAAGAACGGAACTGAATTGAACCGTGTGGATAGAAAGAAATGAAAAAATTGAACCTCAGAAAAAACAAGTTTAATGAAAAAATTCAAATATACCCTATATTCAGGGTACTTATTGTTCGAAAATGAAATAACTCCAACATTCCAAATCATAATATCACTCCTGAATGTCTCGGTCAATCCCAGCTTTTGCACACTTTAACTTTGATTTCAACTAACCATTAGTTTTTCAAAACCCCACTCGAGCACATCTCAGAATCGAAACTCATAACCGTATTTAAATTAGGAAATGCAAGACGCACGAGTTAACAGACCGACTGGACCGACTCAATTCTGATAACTGTCACGAGGTGCACGTGGAGTGTGCCAATTTGTAGAAAGAATTTTTGCTCGTTTGTACTCGAGATACATATTCGTCAACGATCGTTATTTATTCCTCCTATAAGAGTAAATCTATAACAAGTTACGGTAACATGATGAATATGTCCAATGGAGTTAATTGATATACTCCCAATAACACGTCTCTAGTTGGTGTAACTAGTAGTTGGCGCTATTTATATACGTGAGATAAGTGAATATCATCAGAAATTGAATAACAGTCATCTACTCAGACAAAACTAAAAAATTTCATTAGTGCTTTCTCCCCGGTGTGCGATACTTTGTGAACGCAAAATATAAATTCCCATTGACCTATTATCAATGATTCTTAGTCACAATAGATGTTTCCAATTATTGTATTCCTTATAATCATCCTCAGACTGAATAACAAAGGATAGATAGCTCAAAATCCATAGTATTGAGAGAATCTACTATAAACATTCAGATTTCTTAAAAGTGGTGAATTTTCCCATGTTTCACTTCTTTCACTGCGAAAAGATCTTCTTTGTTAGTTTGAAGTTTATACCAAAGTATCATGAGCTCACTTGCGAAATTCCTACAGTTATATTATCTTTCATGATTTTTCCACAAAAATGTTTCGAGCTATGACAGTTCTGCATCCTCATATCCCAAAAATTTTTGATATGTCACTTCAAACAAAAACATATATTATGAAATAAATCTTGAAAATATGCTTTGGAACTTTTGGCCGATGGAAATATTCCCAAAAACTTATAACAATAAAAAAAAATTAAATAAAAACAACAACTACCTCCTCTCCCTATTATCCCAAGGTACACACGATGTTTTTCGAACATTGAAGCAATTTTCTTACGTGCTCTCCAAGAGATGAAAACAGAAATGTATTAGGTATCATTCTCCTCTGAAGCCCCATTGAAGAACCCAAACAGAACAATTAAGTATTCTGAAATATGTCGAACAGCACTATATCAAAACTCATATCTCTATATAAAGAACGGGAAAGCTCTGGACTTTATTGTATAGGAAAGTATTTTCGAGTACTATAACCTCCGAATGTTCGAAAAAATCCAACACCTACCTCCTCTCCCTATCCTCCCTAGGTACGCACGATGTTCCACGAACATCATAAGGATTTCCTCTCGTGCGCACCAAGCGGTGAAAAAAATTATTTTGATGGAGCAAGTTCTGAGCTGAATAGTTCATCATATTGTGGAAAGAGTGGTGACATTAAAAAAATAATTTTATTCTTGAGAATGTCAGAACAAAACGTCCACATGTTTACAAATGTGTAATCGAAAGGAACTAAGCTGAATTTTTCGAAAATAGAATTCAAACATAATTGGGAATTATAGTTGAAGCATAAGCATGCATATACATATACATGCAGAAGTAAATATAAGTTAAAGAGTTAATAGAAGTAGATATTCGAATCAGATCTAAACGAGCATTTCATTCTAGTTGTATATCTCATCATTATATCTGAGGGCTCTTCTCAGAAAATATCGAAATATTTGTTTTGCCTCCATCATTCTATCAACTGCAGCGCATGTGACGACTAGAAATATTTCATATTAACTTAACAGAACAAAAAATCGTCGCATCTTAATCACCATTCCATTTACTGATAAACAAGCAATTACGTAATATCTCAAAAAATTTCAAATTGTGTTCAAACACTTGGGTGACTTCAAGACTCGTCACAGTTTCCACCATAAAAGTTTTTGCAATGTATAGATAAGACATATTATCCTGCAGTGTGTGCGATCCCAACCCGCAACACCCTCTCAATTTGAAATTTGTCGACCGATTTCCAAAAACAAGAATTTCACAAAATAGTACTCAACGTGCTCCATTCGAAAATGTGAAACAATCTGAAATGAGAATATTCATGTTCTCAAGGCCTACTTTTGTTTGTTGAAGATGTCAAATTCCGAAAACGACTTATAGGCATTATTTCAACGAAACAGTGACTAGTCTATCCGATTCAAGCATAGCTGAAATAAAGGGTGTTAGTTATTTGATGGCAAATTTCAGAATTCTGGCTCTCTCGATTCACCCCGTAAGGAAACTTGAGTAATTGATATGAACAGTGGAATGGTCATTCATTGAATAATCACATGGAATATATAGATACAAAGTTTCATCATTGTAAGTTCTACAGGAAGATTTATCTAGCTA